AAGAGCCAAAAGAGAAATCCTAACAAAAGCCAATACAGTTTGTTCTGGTTTCTCTGATAAATCTCTTTCCTCTTCCTTCTTTTTTGCTTGCACAATTTTTTAAAATGGCATATAATAATTGTCATTTGCAATATCAAGTATCATTCTAAGTAGAAATTTAAATGGGCTGAGAGATAGCAAGCACATTTTTCAGGGGTAGTATTCCAGGGAAATTTCTCTGCCTTCTCCTGGCAGGACCACATTGGGGGATGGTGTTCATCTCCCTTTTCTTCTTTCCTCTTCGCATTGCAGTGCCGACACCTAGTATTGAATGAATTTCCTACTCTTCTTCCTGCTGCCCCTTCTCCTAAAGAAAAACTGGGACTACATTCTGAGCCTTCTCTAGAATGAAGATGAAAGGGAAAGAACTGCAAGCTTAACTCTTTTTTTCTATCATTATTTGAAACCTAGGTAGCCCAGAATTGCATGCCAATACCTCTATCCAAAGAAGATCCCCGAGAAGGAGGTATAATACGTCAACAGATAAAAATCAGAGGATGTTTACACATGTGTCTGGAAGTGTGGGTGTACAAATGACTTGCCTATTAAATCAACAGAGCTAAATACCCCTGTGATGTCAAAGGGATCCCTATAACTAACTCTCTCTCTCTCTCTCTCTCTCTCTCTCTCTCCTCATACACACTCTGCTAGTGAAAAAGTGAAAAGATAAGCCATTCCTAGAAGGAAATTCAGGAAACAAGTATAAAACAGTATCATGAAAGATGATCAGAGCTTTCCTACTTCCAGGAATTTATTCCAAGGAAAAACTAGAGGATGTGCACAAATAGTTAGCCTCAAAGATGGCAGTCAAATCCATAATAGTCAAAAATTAAAATAATCGAATTGGTCAGTAATAAGGGGGTGGTCAAGTTAATTATATTTTATCAAAACAATAGAATACTACGTAGATATTAAAAATGTATACAATACATGTTGACATGAAACAATACTCAATTTTGTTCCAATAGAAGAAGCATGTTAAAAGTAAAATATGTTATAATATTTTTTGATTAGGTAGGTGTACATGTATATATGCATAAGAAAATATATAAAATGCCATCTTCAGTTATTTATCTTCTATATCTTTTTCTTCATCTTTCTCCATATATAAATTTTCTGATTTGCCTAAAAGATACATGCATTACTTCTGAAATAAACCTATAAAAATGGACATAACATTAAAATTCACAATGTCAACAGTATTTCTTTAAAAAAGTCCCTTAAATTGCCTGCAGCTGATAGGTTAAACAGGGAGTCCTTGTGAATTAATACTGGATGATAATGATAGGTACAAATGGAGAGGAATAATCTGTACTCAACAAGTCATCTGATTAGCATATTTCATGTTCCCTGTTAGGTTTTGTAAAACTAAAAGTCCTTCTAATAAACACTAAAAATCAAGAAGCTAATATTGAGATTTTTCTGCACCCATGCAACTGAATCTAAGGATATTTTATTTTAGATGAAAACATCAAAATTGTCATTGATCCAAAATGGCCATATAAATCCAGCATCTACATCTGAAGTCAACCTGTTTAAAAATCACAGATTTTTTTTTTCAAAATCCCTGATTTTTTTAATCCCCATGATGCAGAGCTTTAGGGATAGTACTCTTCCAGAGCAACAGCTCAGCTTTGTTTCTGAAACAGCCTTTTTCCTAGTGCAGGAAATTAAAAACGCAAACACCCCACGCTAGTCAATCAGGAAAGCAGCACTGTGAATGCTAGGGCTTTGAGGATACAAATTAGGGAATTAGCTTTTTCCTTAACAGAAGTATATTCACTAAGTAATTTGCTTTCTTTAACTGGAGTTATCCCCTTCCATTAACTGGAGGAATAAGTCCAAATTAAAATCACTGTTCATCAATTACTGGTGGAGGCATGCTCAGGCCCGCGGAAGGGACCATGCAATAAAGCTCATCCACTATAATTTTAATCACTGTTTAATCAGAGCTCTCAACAGGGATAATTTTGGGTAGGGGAGAAATTGGAAACTCTCAGTTATTGTTGGCATGAGGGCAGATATTGCTGAGGACTTTTGATTTATTTACTCATTAAAATTTTCAGCAAATTTTAATTCTTTTCCTTGTTCAATGCAAACTTGCTATGCACTGGAAAGAGAGTGGTGAATATAATGATGTAGTTCCTATTACATTCTAGGCGAAGGGAAAGTTAATACATGAGAAGTCATTATTGCAAATCGTGGTGAGTACTTCATAGGAAGGGAACAGGGTCAGAGAAAGAATAATGGGGAGATGCCAGATTACCTTGTGGAGTCCTGGAGCCCCTAAGAAGGGACATTAAGCTTTTGACTTATCAAAATAGTAATCAAGGAATTAAATGGGTATATTTTGTTCACTGTTTCCTTTATGAGATTACTAGAGGCCCGGTGCACCACATTCCTGCACTCAGTGGTGGGGGGTGGAGGGGACAGTCCTTCAGCCTGGCCTGCACCCTTTCACAGCCCAGGAGCCCTTGGGGGATGTCTGACTGATGGCTTAGGCCTGCTCCCCACAGTCGGACATCCTTAGCGCTGTTGTGGAGGCAGGCTGCTGTGCTCGTCAGTCAGCCGTCAGCTCAGCTTGTGGCTAAGCAGCACTCCCCCTGTGGGAGTGCACTGACCACCAGGGGCCAGCTCCTGCATTGAGCGTCTGCTCCCTGGTGGTCAGTGTGCATCATAGTTACCGGTTGATCCACCATTCGGTCAATTTGCATATTACACTTTTATTATATAGGATATGCTCTTTGGCTATGGGAGTTGTGTGAGTTTTATAAGTTCAGAATCAGCACAGTGGCTGGCCTACATAGGAAATCAGTTAGTGTTGGTAGAATGAATAAATGAATATGAAAGAGAACAACAGAGGCAGAAAATAGGTACAAAAGAGAAAGAAAACTGCGAACACAAAACTTTGCAAGCTGATTGTCATATCTCATATTTCATGGCTCAGCTCTCTATTCCAGTTCATTTGAAAATGGTCTTTCATCCAAAAAAGGTAACTTTTGAAAGTGCTCAAGTCTTTACACAATAAATGCAATTTTTCTAACCTCTTAAATCTTGCCAAGTGAGTAGGCATGGATATTATTGTTTTTCTTGAGATCCAGGGATGAATTCTTTTTTAAAAAATAGTACAATTTAACCCCTGTTATAGAGTTACATGACCCAGAAAATTTTAAGTTGCTTCAAGTACTTAAATGTAAATAAATTCTTATCTAAATCACTCAATTATCATTCAACAAGAAAAATGTATAAAAACTAGGAAAGTATTTAGAAGAGTAGTCACAGAATCTTTGATCTAAAAAAAGCATGTCAAACTCAAAAGGCTAACACGGGCCAAATAAATGAGGCATGCGACCTGGGAGTTTGACCTGCTTGGTCTAAAATTTCCACTCCTGAGAGCAGCACACTAACAGATAAGAATGTCATTCGGAATGGCTCATTAGAGAGAAAGCAGGTAGATAATGCCTGGCACACAAGGGATGTTTGACATAGTTTTTGTCTTATATCTATTCTAGACCAAAGGGAAACCTGGATTTACTCCTAAACTCGTAAATCATGTCTTCAATATGTAACTGTGGAAAAGTTGAGTATGTGATTTTTAAAAATGTTTTTATTTATTTTTAGAGAGAGAGAGGAAGGGAGGGAGATAGAGAGATAGAAACATCTATGAGGAACATCATCGATTGGCTGCCTCCTGCATGCCCCCTACCAGGGATCAAGCCTGCAACCCAGGCATGTGCCCTGACTGGGAATCTCTTGGTTCATGGGTTGATGCTCAACCACTGAGCCACACCAGTCGGGCAAGTGGAGTATGTTTATTTGCATAAATAATAGTCTTAAACTACCTTTCAGTTATAACATGCAGTCATCACTCTACGATTTAAAAACTTAAATGAAAAGTAGTTCAGTGGAATTGAAGACAGTGCATGGTAGCCAGTCTAATAAAACATTAAGGAACGATTCATGTTCCCAAGAGTGTGTCTATCTACAGATACAGAAGCTGTTCTTAGTTTCCGATGGACATTCTGTTTGCGCATCTCAAAACACAAAGGGCGCTGACATACACACACCACAGTTTTTCCCTTTAAAGAGAGGTGCAACTATCCACACAGGCAAGACAAGGTTTCACATTTTAAATATGGTTTCCATTTGAAATCAAATTCCTTACAAGGAGAACATGTCTTTAGCATTGGCAAAGGGAGTCCCCTAGGAAAAAAATGTAAACAGATGGCTGAGAGAGATCACCCACATGCTGCACACAGATCTTGAGGAGGCATTTCTAAGAATGAAGTGGCACTTCCCAGCCTGGGCCACTGCCCACCAGGATCCTTATTTAACCCACAGAAAACAGCGTTTATACCTCCAGCCAAGAAGAACCTCGGCAACTCTTTGCCCACTTCCCTCCCAGTAACCCAGACTAGTTTTCAACCCTCCCCAAGATTCCAAAAGAAGCTAAGTACCAACCGCTTGAGACAGATAATCCTCTAATAAATCAGTGTTCGATGATCAGCCCTGAACTAACATCTTCCCATCGAAACGGGCTGTTAAGCCCCAGCTACGCATATTAAGCATTCAATTTAATGTATGACACACATCTGTTCCACTTTCTCAGCGAGCAGAAGTTTCAAGATAACTTAAATCCCAGACTTAATCAAGGAGAAAAAAATTCTTGGCAGTGTTTAAACCTGATTTTTAAAATATAATCCAAATGAGAGCGAGAGAGACCATTTTGCTGTAACTAATGAGATTACATAATACCTAAATCAAATCTGTAAAAATTACCTGGGCAGAAGCACTGCCTCTTTCAACGGAGTCTATTTATCTTTCCTTTGGTTGCACCAACCTTTACCAAAGACCTCTACCTAGAGCTGGCCCAAAGCACCAAAATAAAAGCAAAAATAAATCTTCTGCAAACCCCGTAATTTAACCCCTCAGTGCCCAGAGGCCTGAAGAGCAAAACTCACAGATTTGTCCTTGACAAGGAGAGCACAGCACTGAATTCCCGCCATCAGCATCTTGTGGGGGTTCCAGGCCACAGAATCAGCTCTGTTATGTAAAACAAAAACAAGGACAAGGTGGGAGGGAGGCAGGAGACATTAGTTTCTACTGGAGGAAAGAATACTACCATCGGCAGCACACACACGTTCAGTACTCATACCCAAGGGAGTGTTCAACAGGATTCCTTGTAGAAGTAGTCTAGGGCAGTGGTCGTCAAACTCATTAGTCAACAGAGCCAAATATCAACAGTACAACCATTGAAATTTCTTTTGAGAGCCAGATTTTTTAAACTTAAACTATATAGGTAGGTACATCGTGATTAACTTAATTAGGGTCCTCCTAAGGCTTAGGAAGAGCCACACTCAAGGGGCCAAAGAGCCGCATGTGGCTCGTGCGCCGCAGTTTACCAACCACTGGTCTAGGGAATTTGGAGTTTGGGGTTTTTTTCTTTGAATAAAGCAATTACTTTGTTTCTCTGTCTGTTTTCAGAATGGCACGTAAGTGGGCAAAATCCAGAGAGATTCCCATGCCTCGACCAAAGGCGCTGCGTGTGGGGAGCGACATTTACCTGCGGATGCCCTGCAGGAGCCGGCGGTGCTTCCTGGACATCAAAGCCGAGCCACCCCAGGAAGCCTGTTGAGAAGAGTGTATAACCACAGCCAATGTTATCTCAGCGTTATCTGTCCACCAGCCAACTGTCCCAGAAAACCCCGGGGGACCGCCTCAGCCTGCCTTGCTGCTTTGTTTTAAGTCCATGCTAACCGATTTGTACACCAAGAAAGATTGATTACTGTCTCTGCCAAGGCAATCAGAGCCACGTCACGACAGAGGGCTCCCTATGGACCCTTAGGGTGTACGCTCACACATCTTACAAAGAAATTGGCATATTAACTTGCTGAGCTGTGTGGGATCCAAAAGGTTTAAAAGACACAGTCTATACCTTCTCGAATCTTAGAGTCTAAAGTAGTCAATATAATCTTACAACACCAAGATTCTATCATACACAAGGCACCAATGCTGATAACGAGTCAGGGACGAAGGCCTGGCATTCTATCTAATAAACGTGGCACGTGCTTAACAAGGTGGGTAGAAGGGAATATAGGAATTCATGGCCAACTACCTTCAGCTAGGAGGAAATAGATTCTATTATTGAAAAAATGGATCTTTTCAGTCAAATAGCTTTCAGATATATTTACGAGTCAAAAATGTGAGAGAAAGGAAAAACCTGGGATTTAAGGAAGTTATTCATTGCAAAGGTAAATATATGAGCAAAGGAGCAGGGAACTAAGACTAAGGAGAGGAAAGAAAATCCCATAGTCAATAAATCTAGAAAGGAGGGAGGAAGGATCAATGTGAGGAATAAGAAAGTCAGTTTGGTTCCTGAAATTGAGCAAACGTCCCAGTTTAATGTGTAGAGCAGTGAAGGGCGAGTGCAGTGAGGAAACACGAGGAGATTGTCGTGGGCTATGTCGAATGCTCTCCAAGGCTATTTCACTGCACAACATTGCAGTGAGAATGGAATTATTATCACTTCAAATTTTCATAGAAAAAACTAAGGTTCAGAGGTGCTAGGTAGACTGCCCAAGGTCTCGCAGGTAATAAAAACCAGATCTGGGAGCCAGAGCTCACCCTCTCTTCACAATAACATCATAACCAGGGAAGGTGACCAGTTTGCCAAATGGTAGAGTGCAGCATGAATAATTGAGGGTGATGGAAGTATTATAGGCAGGAGGCGAGTTTAGGAACTGCCTAGAATGTAGACTACCCTATTTTAGGCTATAGAATTTAAAAAGATGATGCATACCCAGTGTCATCTGGAAAGAGGGGCAGGGTTTTTGTCCACAGATGTGGAAGGTGACAGAAATGAGACATCTCCATGATCCTCAGAATATCACAAAAGCTGAGCACATTGGTGAACAATAAGGCATGGCTTCAAATTGCACCTATGAACAGCTCTCTCACTTGGGGCTGGAATACAATGACTGTGTCACCTAAAGTGCGCAATTTAAGAAGGCACACGCTCTCAGTGTTGGGCTCGTACATGGCCCTAAGAATGAATCCCTTCTTAACTTGAGTCCTAGGAACCTTATTTGTGTCACCTTAGTTCCATCCTGTTTGCATGGACTAGGGCAGTGGTCGGCAAACTGGGGCTCGCGAGCCACATGCAGCTCTTTGGCACTTTGAGTGTGGCCACGAAGTTTCAATCGCACTGTATGTGAGCACCCGCACATGGTATTTTGTGGAAGAGTTACACTCAAGGGGCCAAAGTTTGCTGACCACTGGACTAGTGTCTCCAATAAGCCCGCAGGGTTCCCAAAGGTTTGTGAACTGGAGGTGGTAGGCATGCAAATCCCAAAGATTCCCAGTTACAGTACTGATGACTTTGGGTTGTCAGTCAAGCCCCTTCTTGCTGCACTCTTCCCCATGGGCTTTCCTGAGGGACCAAGTCTGACTAAGGCTGAGATACAGAGACAACTGCCTTCAGCATCTAAGAAAACTATATCCTGGCCTACTAATGGAGGATCCCCAATTCAGATTTTGAGATCTTTACTTTCACAAACCTTAAGATGACTCACCTATTATGTTCTCTCACTTCAATTACACACTCTAAACACCGAGTTGCCTACTTTTTTTCTCAATCCTTTTATCCCCAACTTCACTTAGAACCTACCAGTGACAATTATGAGAAGGATTAATAGTAAGACTCAGACACCCCATTTATTCTCTTAATCTTTCCACCTGCCTCACCTATGACACTTGCACTCCTTTGTGTCTCCTACACTACCTTCTGCCTCCTCTCCTTTCCCCAAAAGTAAATAATATTCTCCCAATCCTAGTGAGCTGGATTGAAGTTTTCAAGTCACATGCATTCTTTCAAGGTGTGGTACACTGGTTTACAGAGTGGTCAGGCGGGTAAGGAACAACTCATCCACAAACTTATTCCTCAAAAAAAGCTGGAAGGAGAAAAACAACACCGCTAGTGTTATGCATACTTCTGTTTGCTTAATGTTCTAAATCCTAACTCCAAAACTTGCAAAAACAACAAACAAATCACCTACATGATGAAGGAGCTTGGCTTCCCAATTTAACAAGGGCTATCATTTATTGAGCTATTACTATATGTTAGGCACCACAGTTAGCATTTTACTTGCATATTTTCTTTAATTACTTAGGTAGTAAATAGGCCCAATCCTGAAAGGAAGGTGGGTGGAGGCAGGGGTAGAATTGAGACGCAGCAGCATGTAAAGCCCATGATGTGAAATATAATGTTTACTAGCCTGCTGGGACTTGGAATGAAGAGTGGGAGGGAGATTCAGGAAGCTTTGCTGGGAGTGTGAGGCTTTGCAGCAGCCACAGCCTCTGTTTCAGAGAAGAGCTGGGCCAGCCCTGACATCCTGGCCTCCCACCCACAGGCAGAGGCTAGAAGAATAATTTGCTCTCACGGAAGAAGAATAGAACTGGAGGCAAAAAATGTCAACAAGACTAGGTTTTTATTATTCAGTTGTTAAAAAATGCATTGTAATTAACCAAATTTAAGACACTATCAAATGTGAGACTCATCATTTTTGGTTACCACTGATAAAGTAAAGAATGGTATCAACATACCAAGTCCAGACATGTGAAAAATGTAAAAAAAAAAAAATATATTTCTCAGAATAAATTTTAGTATATATGCAGGGCAACTCTTTTTGTTTGTTGTTGTTGTTGTTTTGAAAAACCCAGAAGAATAAGAAATCAGAATTTCATTTTTTTAAAAAAGAAAGTAAATACCAGTTTTTAATAATTTAAAGTATCTTTAAAATGCTCTTTAGAAAATTTCTGACAGGCAAGTGTAATTAAGGCAACTTTGGTAACTTTTTATCTTTAAAATGAATAAACTCTGCATGGTATAAAAAGGTAGAATAGCAACAGATTCAATGTCTGCAATACTAAAGAATGGGTGATCACTGCCTCTATGTTTGAGCTAATTTCTATAATAGGTCAGACAAACTGTTGTCAAATTTAATCTAATGCAACAGGCATTCATTACATGCAAAAATAATAATTTGTGTGGCTTACATATTTCCTTTTAGGAAGTGTTTCCTTCCAAAATTCAATCTTTCATTTTTAGAAAACCTAGAGAGGTTTTTATTCATACTTATAAATCATAGTTTTCTCTAAGCCCCATAAATCTCTTAATATCATTTCCAATTTAGAAACTGCTGTAGTTACTGTTTTATATAAACTACATAATCCATATTTGATGTTTTTTTATGAGAGTAGAATTTTCAAGTATACATGCTAATGTATTTCCCCCCCTCATTTCCACAGTTACAGAAGTACTTACTTCCATATTCTCTTTTAGGACATAATGTATTATTATGCTTCTAAGTCTATAAAAATCAATAGGATATAAGTTGAAATGTAAACAGATACAAGTATTACAATTCCACTTAAAGAAGTCACAAATAACCTACCTGAAATATTGCCATTGGCATACCAATAGAGCCTATAACTCTAGTGGGTTTATGTTACTGCTGCTTTTACCATACATTAGCATGCATCTAATGAAAGCCTTGAGTTGCTGAAAAATCTCTCCCCATCATATCATGGATGCTTTACTTTGAAAGCATAAAACCATGCAAACTATAAACTTCTGTGTAGGGATAGCCTCCCAGTGCTCAGCTACCTTCCTTTCAGCAAGTCAAAAACATTGTGCTTTCTTTTTTTCTGATAAAGAGGCTATGAGCCACTCACTTACCAGAGGAAGGCTCCCTAAAGTTTCATCAGTATGTTCAACTCCTGATTTCACACACACACACACACACACACACACACACACACACACACAGAAAACGCTCAACAAGCATTTATAACTGCCTGAATTCAACCTTTTAACTTTAGATAAATATAATTTTAAGAATGACCTTTAATTAAGGAAGAAATGATTATAACTCCAAGACTTACAAACTTAGGAAAAAAAGGCCAATCCTTTCAGTGTAAAAGTTATGAAAAATATAAAGTTATCCCAGTCCCTCTCAAATAATTATCTATAACAGATCTAGATAAAACCTGCTTTAATTAGAGCATGAAATTACATAGGGAAGCTTGTTACCTTTATTGGCTGATTGGTATATAATTTTAGAGCTAGAAGATGCATTACAGACTACACCAGCCATTTCCCTCTTTACAAATGAAGACGCCAAAGCCCAGAGGGCTGAGGTCACAGTGACAAAGGAGGCCAATTCAAATCCAAAGTCTCCTGACTAGATAGTCCAGAATGTGTCCCTTCACCATGCTGCTCAATGACAGCAGATTCAAAGGACCAGAGAAAAGGGTTCATGGGGGAAGAGGGAATAAAATGGAATCCAGAAAACGGAAACAGAATTCACATCAAGTCTTAGCCTACCCTTCTTTATACCTTAGAAAAAAAGACATATCTATTTCCTCCATTTCGAAATGTAAATAAAAGCTGGGGACCTCACATCTAGTTTCTGAGAAAGTGAAAGATTTCCCACCAAAGCTGCAAAAAGACTGGAAAGCTAAGCAGATGTGTACATACAGATGAACTTACATCCACGTGAAGCCAGAGGCCATGCCTCTCGCAGACATCAGCTATTTCATCCAGCGGATCAAATGCGCCCAACACCGTTGTACCCGAGGTGGCACAGACAAGAAATGGTGCTGCTCCCTGTGAAAAGGACCCACGCATGAGAATTGTCACCATCATCTCTAAGTTTATCCTGTAATAGGCTGGTACATTATAAAGGTTCTAATATATCCAGAAATATATTTGGTTCTTAGAGATGATCACTGATTCAGTGACTGTTTCTAAGCTTTTTCACTATACAGTTTTGTATTATAAATAGATTAAGGAAACAGAAAAGGCTACAATAGTAGTCCTTTGTCCCAACTCAATATTTTTAGTTTCATTTTCTTTCTATAGCCTTTTCTGTCCGTTGCTTTCCTAAGATAGAAAGTAAATAACCTCATCACCATTGGCAAACTGGCATTATGTAGGATTCCTAACTCCTTGGGGAGATTCATTGGGCTTCCAGAATGCCAATGTTGTTACCCTTCTCCAAAATAAAAAGGGCTGTTTGGAAGACAAACAGCCAGCTCCAGGGACAGAACATGCAGGCCTGTGGGCTTGTTTTCTTATGAAGTATGAGCAGTTACAAAACAGAGTGTGTGTTCAGGTACAAACTTGGCAAGGTAACCTCACTGGGATCCACTCTCTAAAACAGGTGCTGCAACAGAGAAGTCAGGTAGAATGTGCTAGAAGAGAGAAGCTGCATAGCTTCTATGGTGACTATTCCTCCTCATCTAGCTGATGGCTGCATCTTGAGGAGTGAACAGGTGCCCGAAGGAAATGGAGAGAAAGGGAGGATGTGGGACACATGTAGAGATGAGTGGTAATCCCAGCCAAGCTAGAAAGCACCTTGGCCCCGTAAGGAAGTTCATGGCAACTAGGTAGAGAATAGAGAGTCCGTGAGTTTGTTTCTCATGGATCATCCCAGCATGTCAGCAGAGATATGTTACTGGCTGTGGAAGTGCCTTAGAGGAAAAACTTTCAGACAGAGGTAGGTGTGGCGGGGAGGGGGAGGGTAGTGTAAGGAGAAGCCTACTATTCTAGCACCTGGGGAGTAAGTGACAAGAACATTTATTGCCCATTAAGTTCATTCTTACTTCCGTTTAGGATGAAATCATTTTTTCCTCAGTTTTATTTTCAAGTGCAGGTAGTTCTTACAAAATAAGTTTACGTCCCACTTTATTGTTGGGGGCTCTAACCAGACTCACTCCAGTCTAGCTGACCATTGACAGAGATATCATTTCTCAATGAAAGGAGGGCAGAGCAAGGGCACTTAGTCCACATCTCAAAGTAACGGTACACAATGAACCCATTTGCCATTTAGGCAGAAGGTTGTGACACTTATAACCTAGTCCAGTGGTCGGCAAACTCATTAGTCAACAGAGCCAAATATCAACATTACAATGATTGAAATTTCTTTTGAGAGCCAAATTTTTTAAAGTTAAACTATATAGGTAGGTACATTGTTATTAACTTAATTAGACTACTCCTAAGGCTTGGGAAGAGCCACACTCAAGGGGCCAAAGAGCCGCATGTGGCTCATGAGCCGCAGTTTGCTGACCACGGACCTAGTCCATCCACCCAAACTTCTCAGAGTGAGACCAGGAGGTGACAGAGTCCCTGGGGGACCATGGGCTTTGAGAATTCTTCCCTTCACTCATGTACCAACAGATCATACCTTTATCAGGGCAGAGAACTAAAGGAAATGGGACCAGGTTTATATCAATCATTAAAAGCAATAGAAAAAGTAATTTACTAAAGCCATTTACGTTGTCTTTAATGGTTGAGCTTTGCCTCATAAACTATATGACATCCTGACAGTGGTGAGAAAACACCTATGCAAGCTATCATAGCGTATTAATGACTTTTTCTCACCTTTTTAATAATCTAGCTATAAATATCAGTCCCTGAAATTAAACTTTTGCCATCTGGATTTAACCTTCCAGATTTTTCCTCTCACACATCTCATGCGATTAATAAGAAAATTCAGTGGAAACAGAATTGATGGTGTGCTGACAATATCCTGTTTTCCCTAAGAAATTTTGTCATTTCAAAAGTCATATGCAAAAATACTCCCAAATATTCAGTGGTTACACTAGTTTTATCTCTGCATAAGCACTTCAGAGCCTCGGACGCCTCTGTGGTTTTCAGCATCCAGTAAAGGTCACTGCTCAACAGATTTGTAATGGATTGTGGCTGGCCAGGGAATTGAAGCCCAACAGAAAAAAAAAGTGGATGCACAATTTCCTACATCTGAAACAATCCAAGTTAAAAGCCTGAAAAAGAGCAACTAGGTCTGAAGCTATTGAGAAAAATAACCTAGTCATCGGGTATTATTATCTCAGAACGGAGGTGAGGTTTGTCCTTGGTGGGTCCCGGCCCCAGTTTTAGCTGACTTGAAAGAAAGCAGAGGAGACATACTGACTCTCACCCCGTTGCCCTACTTTAAAATGTGCCTAAAGCAATTTTTACTTTTGAGAAACTTCTCTTTTCAGGTTCTCACCTTAAGACAAGGGCAGTTTCATGCACTTTAACTGTTAAAGCAAAGCAAAATTTATGCGGTGAAGATAATAATGATTGCAGTGGGATAAAACCCATCGAATATACTAGAAAATGAGTTCTTAATGATACTTAATGATTTGACTATCTTTAGGGGATGCTAGGCAACTAACTCGCTCTTCTGAAAATTAGTAAATCAGGGGAAAGAAGAAAACATGGATCCTGCCGTGTCTGTGAAAACTGTTTCCTTAGGGAAACCAGAGAGGGATGAGGGAACATTTTTCCTTACAGTAGTATGCCTGCCAATAAATGGAGGAGGAACAAGAAAGTAAATTAGAACATCAGCTACTGAAACAATGGGTCTAGACAAGGATCATCAATGGCAGGAAATCCATGAGGGGAGAGGCGGATGCAGAGCTCTCTAACAGGTGGGCTGACAATACCGGAACCCACCAATGTTCCCACAGAAAGAGACAAGAGATGCCTCCTCATGGAAGGACAAAATTTACCCACAAATAATCCCGCCAACATTTCCAATCTGAATCTCACCGAGTCTCAAGATCTAACTGTCAAATTACAAGAAATATAGAGAACAGATGGGTGGTGCAGAGGAGGGGAGCACTTGAGTCTCAAATGTGTGATGCAGTCCACATAATTCATAATGTGGAAAACTACCACACTAATGGATGTGGTTTCTTCAATAGATCAATTGTAAGAGTAAAAAAAAAAAAAAAAAAAAAGGAGGAGGGGGAGCTATAGCCTAGAAGAGATTTATATGATGAATCAATCAAATGCAACATACAGGCCTTTTATGAAAACTTATTGAAACAAACCAACTATTTTAAAAAAGGAATGGGAGAAATTTTAATATAGAGTGGATATTTGATGATATTAAGAAATTATTCCTTGAAATGGTATTACTGTTGTTTTTATTGATTTCAGAGAGGAAGGGAGAGGGAGCAAGAGATAGAAACACCAATGATGAGAGAGAATCATGGATTGGCTGCCTTCTGCAAGTACCTACTTGGGATCAAGCTTTGATGGCTCTAGTTCACAGGTAAACAAGGTGGTGGTAATCTAGAATTTTACCAAGAGGCAACGAAATTTGATCATCTCTACCACCAGACAACTTCAAGTCTACCCGCCATTGGAATGTTTTAAAAAATAAAGACAAATGTAGATCTAAGCCAATACATATGCAAAAAAGGCAAAAATTTTAAGTACAGAATTTTAAACCAAATATAATAACCTAGCATGCTCTGGATAAGGTGATTTTTATTAAAAAATTAAAATATAAAGAATAAAATAACAGAAATATCAAAATTTTAAAAATTAAAAATAAGAGAAACCATTTTTTTTTTTTTTAGAGTGTGAAATCCTATGAGGGAGAGATGCATCCCAAGTCAGAAGCTGGGCTTTTCATTATTCAGCAGCCACACCTGACTTTGTTGCTATCTGCTGGAAAGTTACAGGAGAATAGTCTGAAGCCCCTTTTGCAATGAGGACTCTGCTGGGATCCGGAGGGAAGCAGTGAAGAAGTAGGTGCGCCTAAGCCAGCAGGTCCAAGAAGCAAGAGGGCTGGCACCAAGAAGGCGACATACCTCAAAAGCAGGTGTCAAGGCCAGCCCTTGCTAGAGCATCACAGGTGAGCATGGTCATGCCTTGCCCCAGGGACAGACATGTCAGCTTTAATACATCCTGGCAGCTGAGAGAGAACATTCTTCCAGAGCTGAAATATCAGACCCAGCCAGACTCAGTACAGGATGGTGGTTGTGAATGGACTTTGGGTGGAAGCAATCTGGGAGGATGGGCTGATCAGGATATCAGGAGTCATTCTGAATGCAACAGAGACCATTGGTTTGGGCTGCAGAATTCTCAGAGTCAGGAGTTTTGTAGGAGAGTGGTTGTGGGGGCCCTGCTGGAGAGGCTGGGTTCACTATTTTTTTATGGTAATCTTTACCCAGAGGATGTTTTCTAATTGATTTTTAAAGGGAGTAGAAGGGAGGGAGGGAAAAAGAGGGAGGAAATGAGGGAGGGAGGGAGGGAGAG